CCGAACTCCACTGTGAGCATCTGGAAGTCAGGAAATGGGCCTTTTTTTCTCAGAATCCTCAGCACCTAGTGCAATGCCTGGTACAGGGTAATGGATCTAAACCCACCCAAGGCCCTCTCTCCTCATTCCCTTTCATGAGTCCTGCAGCGCAGTCAGATTTGTTCTTGAGCACAGTGAGGTTATTGCTGCCTTCCTGAGTGTGCATTTTCTTTACCCTCTACTTTACTTGAAATGTGGTTCCTGTTTCTGTTTCCATTCATGTCACTCCCACCTGTTCTTTAAGGCCCAGCTTAATAAAAAATCACAGTGACTTACCAAGCTCGCCACATGTGCCAGGCCTACATTATTTTAGTTCAGCATGAACTTCAGCATTATCCCTATAAGGAAGGTATTGAAAACAGCCCTGAGTGGCAGGTGAGGCAAGTCACGCACACTAATAGGTGTTACTATTGTAGGCGGCTGGGCCAAGACCCTCCCTGCTTGATCCTCTTGTCTTCCCTGCAGCTCTTCTACCTCCTTCCAGAAGGCAGTTGGAGGTCCTTTAGTCTACCACATAACTTTTATGTGTAAACTGCAAATTGTTTGGGCTAACGCAGGTGGTTAATGGTGCGACCCAGGCCTAAAATCCAGGATTCTGGATTTGAATGCTCTTTTCACGCACCACTACCACACCCAGCACTTCTTGCTCAGTATGAGGTAAGTTGCAGTAATCCCCCAAGTCCAGGGTTAGTGGGGTTAGGGCAGGCGGGGAGCTTCGGTCCACAGTGACCTGAGCTGCAGAGGCCTGATGGCCATGCATGGCTGAGGAAGATTTTTATCCAAGGATTTTCAAGGGGAAGGCACTGGACTGTTTTAAGCTCAGGAGTGAGGAATAGATTTGAATTCTTATTTTATTTTTTTCAATTTCTATTGATTTGGGAAAGCGGGGAGGAAGGAGAGAGATTTGTTGTTCCACTTACTTATGCATTCATTGGTTGACTTCTGCATGTGCCCTGACCGGAGGTCTAATGGGCAACCTGGGCCTGTGTGGACCCGGCTCCAACCAACTCAGCTACTTGGCCGGGGGCTATATTTGAATTTTTAAAAGCTCACTGTGGAGAATTAATTGGAGTGACTGCAGAGTGACAATTTAAGAGGTGTTTTTGTCCTTCAGGTGAGAGACGGTGGCAGCTCCCATCGCGTTGTTGAAACACCTGGAGAAACGAAGGGACTGGAGAGATTTTAGGGAAGTAAAATTGTCGGGATTCGGCTGCACACTGCTCACGGGGAATGAATCTAAGCCATAGCGCGACCTTATGATACTTAAGCCTTAATTTGTTTCCTCGTGGATAAAATGAGCATAATACCTGCTTTGAGAGATTCTTAGTAAAAAAATGAAAAGTGCTAGACATATTAAATATCAATAAACGTTAGTTGTTATTACTATTACAAGTAAGTTTTTCTTAAATTAAAAAAAAAAAAAGCTTTTCAAATACGGAATAGGTTGGATCTGAAGTAATCCATTCAAGTTGGAAGATTTATTTTTCAAGTTCCCGTTAGTCAAGCGCTCCACAAGCTCACCTCCTGCGCGCTCGGGACTAAGATAAACGCACAAAGGTGTGGGGGGCGCTATGGCCAGAGCCCGACAATGTCACTTGCTGCGCTTGGCTGACCTCTCATCCCCGAGGTCGGTGTTTCTAGAAGACGCGGCAGAAGCGGGCGAGTTAGAGGCGGGAGCAGCCGGGAGCCGAGCCGGATGGGGGCGGGGCGCGGTGGTTAGAAGCCGGGGTCCAGCGCGTCAGCGGCGCTGCCGCC